GCAGTGGGCGGGGGGGGTGAGCAGGGGCTGGCCCCGAACAGGAGACTTGGCATGGAGTCAGGGCAGCCCTTATATGTGCTAGAGTCTACTCAGTAGCAGGAGAGTTTGGGTGGAAAATGGAGTGGGAAGGCTGAGGTGCAGGAGCCAGGAAGGAGACCCAGTTGGGAATAGGCCCACCTCCAGGCAGTGGTGCTGGAAAGGAGGAAAGCTCAGACCTCATTGGCCCCCAGAGAGAGTACCACCTGTGCAGCAGGGAAGGAACTAGCTCAGCGGAAGACCTGAAAGCAGCTACCAACCCACCAGCTCATAGGAAAAAGGACTGAGTGAGTAATCCTACACCCCCTGGGCCAGTTAAAGGGGAAAAGAGCACTCTGGTGGAGAACCTAATTAGCTGCTTACCCGGGACTGTTCATCCTAAAGTGACAAGCACTGGAACTCCTTGCCCAGGGATTTTTTTATACAGTTGAATAGAGGAGGATTATCTGGGTCTGGGGTGGTAAGCCAGGAGAGGCTGGAGAGCTCTCTAAGAGATTTTGCTGTATAAAGACATGTACATAGTTCCAGGAAGCAGGGGCAGACTGACAACTCATGGGGCCCCCGGGCAATAGGGGATCATGGGGCCCCTGTGTCCCTGCCCAAACTCAAAAAAGCCTATGAAAAAGGTACCAGGCGCATCTCATGGGGCCCCCTACTGACCCTGGGCCCTCGGGCAGTGCTCGAGTTTCCAAATGGTCAGTCCGCCCCTGCAGGAAGTTGTCCTCAGTTGCAGTTTCCTTGGGCATCCCATACATCCCTCATCCCTATCCAAGTTATTATCCCCTAATAAAATAATAAGTTCAAGGACTGGTTACTGTCTCCTGGATGCAAGTCTGGTCAGAAAATGGGGTGGGCTATGGCCCCCCAGATTCCAGTTGTGCCCCCCAAAGCTAGCAGCCCTCTCCCGCCTTGACATTCTGCCCGACCTCTGAATTCCTCCCAGGGACACACAGAGAGTACAGTGGATAGAGGCAGGGACACGCAAAGAGCTCTCGCAGCTCCCTTCTACCTTTTCTAAAAGAAGACAAAGGCACAGCAATAAAGTGTTAAACAAAGTGAATCTGCTTCAGGCAGCTTTATTTACTGTGTATCTGAATCTTCATGCAGCATGATCACTGCACACCAGTGTCGGGTCAAGGCCATGTAGCGCACAGGGTGAAGATGCCAAATGGCCTCCACAAGATGTATGAGCATTGTGTTAGCAAAAATCCCCCCCCTCCAAAAAAAAAAAACTGAGCACTAATCTACTTGTCTACCCCCTAAAAATAAACTCCCTTTGAAATACAAAATTCACCCCAAACCAAAATTCTCCCTTTTCCCAGTACAAAGCCCCTTCCCCCAATGCAATCTCCAACCCAGTATAAATCTATGTCTCTTCCTCCCCAAATGTCCCCCTCCTAGCACAAATCCTTGACCCCTCTTCCAGCACTCCCCCCAAATTTCCCCTTCTAGTATAAATCCTTCTCGTTCATCCCTACTAGCATAAATCCTTCCCCCCAATTCCCCCTTTTTAACACAAATCCCCATCCTAGCACAAATACCCCTCCCAAATCCCCCCTTCTAGCAAAAATCATCTTCCCCATCCTCCCTCCCAGCACAAATCCCCCCAAATCAGCCTTCCTAGCACACATACCCCAAATCACCCCAGCACAAATCCTCTCCCCCCACAAATAATATCCCTGCTACCCCCCAAATTACACTATTTCAGCACAAATTCCTCTCACCTAGCACAAATAATCCCCCTCAAATCCCCATTCCTAACACAAATCCCCCCTCACCAAAGTTTCCCGTCCTAGCACAAATGCTTCCCTCTCAAATCACCCATTCTAGAACAGCCTTCCCACCTCCCCAATTCTCCCCACAGCCAAAAAAAATCTCTCCCCCAAAATTTTACCTCCTAGAACAAATTTTACCCTCTGCCACCCCCCCAAGTTCATTCTTCCAGTACAAATACCTCCAAATCACCCCTCCTTGCACATCTACAAATCACCCCCCTGCACAAATTTTCTCCCTTCCCCCAAATTTTCCCTGCAGGAACAAATCTTACCTCCCCCCCGCCACCCAAAATCCTCCTCCCAGCATAAATCCTCTTCCAATCCCAACCTCCTAACACAAATCCCCTTCTTCCAGCCCAAATCCACAAGTCCTAGCACATATCCACCCCCCCCCCCCATCCCCTACTCCTGTCACTAATCCACTTCTCCCTCCCCCTCCTAGTACAAATGCCCTCATCCCCAGCACAAGTATATGCTACTCTGTCCCCCCTCCCCCCCATTCCAGTTCTGTCCCCAGTACAATCCCCCCCCCCCAGGCCTCAGATATAGCACGACAGATGTCTGTGGAATGTTCTTTCTCCCAGGCTCCTCCACATCTTGATACCTCACAGTTGTGGAGGAGCCTAGGGGAAGCTGCCTTGCAGTTTTAACAGGTAGCCGCAGAAAGAGGGGGGGGGGGGGGGGTATGGGACCGCGGCCGCGGGGACCCACACCAGAGATGCATCTGGCTGTCAGATCAAGACTGAGCAGGATTTGCTTACCCCACCTACCCACATTCTTTTCTGGGAGGAGATGGGACAGGTAAGCAAACACTGGAAAGTCGTGATCGAGTTGCGTGGCATTGACAGGGGGAGAACCTGGAGGAGAGAGGGCACAGCGTGAACCTTCTCCCAGCTCAATGGTGACAGTAGCAGTACCACTGCTGTCAATAATTCTGCCAGACTGAAGCAGCAGGAATCCTCCACATAGCACCCCCCCACCTAACCTGATACAAACCCGCCCAGGGCAGCCGCCCCTCCTGCCCACCCCTAGTCCCTGCTCTGCTGCACACTGACAGTCAGCTCAGCAGTAAATAAAGCTGATCTGGAATGTGCAGTGATCGTTCATCTCAGACCTGTCAGCATAGCCTGAAGATACACAGTCAGCCCCACAGTAAATAATAGGCTATGCACAGTGAGAGTTCTATTATCAGGTGGGAAGCCTTACTTGGATTTAACACTTTATTCCTGTGCATTTGTCTGCTTGGCTTCTCCTAGGGTAAGGCTGGCCATACATTAAGCAATTTTCTTTCCTTCAACAAAAGGAAATAAACTCAATCGATTCCCCAATTAAGACGCTCAGTTTTGTTGGGGGAATCCATCTTGCTGCGCTATTGCATTTTGACAGCAGGAGGTTTCCCTGCCATCAGAATACAATAAACACTGCTGGCAGCTAAAGCCACTGACAGTCATTGTAAAAATACCTGACAGGCCAGTTGTATTGAAATCAGTTGATAGATGAACTTCAGTACAACCAGCCTGCCCGTAGATGGATAGAAACTTAGCCAGTTCAGCAGGAAACAGCCGAAATCCGGTCCATCTTTAGATGGCTTTAGAAGTAACCCCTTTATTTTATCTGCCATTCTTGTTGCCTATAATTCAAGAGGCGCTCTTGGGACCCTGATGTAAGGAGATAGGGTAGCTTAATATAAAGGGGGTTCTAAGGACCTGATGTAACCAGGGAACTCTCCTTTATGTCAGTAACTTTAGGGACCCTGATGTCAGGAGGGGGGCTCTGGGGACCCTGATGTAAGAGAAGTTGACTCTGGAGACCTTGACATGGGGGGTGACTCTCTAGGGTCCCTGATGTTAGTGGGGTGACTCTGAGGATCCTGATATAAGGTTCTGGGGACTGTAATGTAAAGCTGGTGACTCTGAGGATCCTGAGTTAGGGCTGAGGAACCCTGATGTAAGGGGTGACTCTAAGGACCCAGATGTTGGGCGGTGGGGGGTTACTCTGGGGACCCTGATGTAAGGTAGGACTCTGGTGACCCTGATGTAAGGGGGAGGACTCTGATGTAGAGGGGGGACTCTGTGACCTCTGAGGGGGAATTCTGATGGGGATTCTTAATGTAAGGGGGAATCCAATGAACAGATGGGCTCGTCCTGATGCTGCACTCTATATGTTGTTTCAATGTTACTCACTCCTGACCCCTGCACTCTATACATTATGCTGTACATTACATAGTCCTGACCAAAGTGTTCATTGTCCTAACAGTTCCTGTGTTTAATGATATTCTTCTTTAAGGTAGACTCACACAGACAAAGTGATCACTTTTAGTGTGCAGAAAAGCATATGTGATAGAAACGTTTATTTTTAAAACTTATCCTTCATTCTGAGGTTCATGTCTGTCTGTCAGGCTGTCATTTGTGACATAGTAAGTAGTATTTTGTGGGTACAACGACTACGCTATATGTGTGCAAAGTATACAGCAAATAGGCACAGATTCTGTTTAATCATTCCCCTTTAAACTCTTCCCCATTAGGCAAAATTTGTCCTCTGCATCACTGTCAGGGCTCCCGGGTGTGACCAGAGGTATGTGAACTGACGCAGGGAAACGCAGGCTTCAGATATGTTATAAACAATATAATTTATTAACACTAACAATACATAAACGCAGTGCAATACTAAAACATGACACAGTGCAAACGAACCAAACCACCCACAGATAACAATACATACAATGCAAGAGTCGTCAGGCAGGCCGGGTCAATAACAATGGGGCAGGTAGGAACAGGAGGAGCAGGCAGAGAGTAGTCAGGTCACGAGCCGGGTACAGCAACTAACGGGCAGGTAGGTACAGGGGGTCAGGCAGAGAATGGTCGGGGTCACAAGCCAGGGATCAAACAGGAGAAGTCAGCAGAGGTCCGGATCAGGCAGGGTCAGCAACGAATCAGTCAGACAGGAACAGGAACAGGGATGCAGGTAACAAGATACAGGGGCCCATAGAAAAGCACACACCAAGGCCCAGACTGCAGGTCTGGCCATCCCTTAAATACACCTGCATAATCAGCTTCAGGTGTTTGGCTGGCTGCAGGGTTGAGTCTCTGATTGCTGAAAGCACCCGCTGGCCAGCCCTGGTACTGCAGCCCACAAGGCAGGTGAGTCCCACCATTACTGGCAAGTCCATTCCTGACAGTACCCCCCCTTCAAGGAGCGGCCTCAGGACGCTCCAAACAGTCCTAGCTGGGCAAAATGTTCCACCGCCCGGGTCTGGTAACTGGCGGGATATCAAAGACTGGCACATCGGGCTGGACTCCGGGCAGCAGCACATCGGGCAGGACTCCGGGCAGAGGCACATCGAGCTGGACTCCGGGCAGAGGCACATCGAGCTGGACACCGGATCACCAGGCGGAGCGGCAGGCACCGGGCCACCAGGCGGAGCGGCAGGCACCGGGCCACCAGGCGGAGCGGCAGGCACCGGGCCACCAGGCGGAGCGGCAGGCATCGGGCCCCCAGGTGGGGCGGCGGGTGGCGGGCGCCAGGCCCCCAGGCGGAGTGGCGGGCGCCGGGCCCTAAGGCGGAGCAGCGGGCGTCGGGCCCTCAGGCGGAGCGCCGGGCCCTCAGGCGGAGCGCAGGCGCCGGGCCCTCAGGCGGGAGCGGCGGGCACCAGGCCCCCAGGAGGGGCGGCAGGCATCGGGCCCCCAGGCGGGGCGGCGAGCACCAGGCCCCCAGGCGGAGCGGCGGGCGCCGGGCCCTCAGGCGGAGCAGCGGGCGTCGGGCCCTCAGGCAGAGAGCCGGGCCCTCAGGTGGAGCGGCAAGCACCAGGCCCCCAGGAGGGGCGGCAGGCACCGGGCCCCCGGGCGGAGCGACAGGCATCGGGCCCCCAGGCGGAGCGGCGAGCGCCGGGCCTCCAGGTGGGGCGGCGGGCGCCGGGCCCCCAGGTGGAGCGGCGGGCGCCGGGCCCTCAGGAGAGGCGACAGGCATCGGGCCCCCAGGAGGGGCGACAGGCACCGGGCCCCCCCGCGGGGCAACACTGGGCACCGGGTCATCAGGCACGACAGCGGGCATCGGGTCACCAGGCATCAGGTCATTTGGCTCGCCAGTGGGGCACCGCGTCATCTGGCAAGGCAGTGGGCACCGAGTCACCAGGCACGACAGTGGGCTCCGAGTCAACTGGCATGACCGCGGACACTGAGTCAGACATTGGATCGTCTGGCTGGACAGTGGGCATCGGGTCACCAGGCATCAGGTCATTTGGCTCGACAGGGCACCGCGTCATCTGGCAAGGCAGTGGGCACCGAGTCACCAGGCACGACAGTGGGCTCTGAGTCAATTGGCACGACAGCGGGCACCGGGTCATCAGGTACCGGATCGTCTGGCTCGACAGCAGGCACCAGGTCATCTGGCGCTGGATCGTCTGGCTCAACAGCGGGCATCGGGTCACCAGGCATGACCGCGGGCACTGGGTCATCAGGCATTGGATCGTCTGGCTCGACAGCGGGCATCAGGTCACCAGGCATGACAGCGGGCACTGGGTCATCAGGCATTGGATTGTCTGGCTCGACAGCGGGCATCGGGTCACCGGGCATCAGATCATTTGGCTCGACAGCGGGCACCGCGTCATCTGGCAAGGCAGTGGGCACCGAGTCACCAGGCACAACAGTGGGCTCTGAGTCAATTGGCACGACAGCGGGCCATCAGGTACCGGATCGTCTGGCTCGACAGCAGGCACCGGGTCATCTGGTGCTGGATCGTCTGGCTCGACAGCGGGCATCGGGTCACCAGGCATGACAGCGGGCACTGGGTCATCAGGCATTGGATCGTCTGGCTCGATAGCGGGCACTGGGTCATCAGGCATTGGATCGTCTGGCTCGACAGCGGGCATCGGGTCATCAGGTACCAGATCGTCTGGATCGACAGCGGGCACCAGGTCATCTGGAGTTGGATTGTCTCTGGCTCGACAGTGGGCACCGGGTCATCTGGGGACAGCGGGCATCGGGTCACCAGGCATGACAGCGGGCACCGGGTCATCTGGCATTGGATCTTCTGGCTCGACAGCGGGCATCGGGTCACCAGGTATGACAGCGGGCACTGGGTCATCAGGCATTGGATCGTCTGGCTCGACAGCAGGCATCGGGTCACCAGGCATGACAGCGGGCACTGGGTCATCAGGCGTGATAGGATCATCAGGCTGGATCAGTTCATCAGGCTGGGTAGAGACATCAGGCTGGGTAGAGACATCAGGCTGGGTAGAGACATCAGGCTGAAGTGCGGGTGCCGAGGCACCAGGCTGAACCACGGAAGGCAGGTTCTCAGACGGCAGCTCACCGGTTTGGATACTGGCAGGATGGTATTGGTTGGAAAGAATTTTCACTTTTTTCTGGTTTTAACTACTGGAGCACTGCAAGTAAACACAGGTCTGCAAACAAATGGAGCAGCTGAGGACAGAGAAGAGCTGGAAGATGGAACAGAGGAGGGAGCAGTTGCTACAGAGGACTTCTTTACAGGGTTAAAGAAAGGATAGGTGCAGCGAGTGGGAGCAGAGGACTGGTATGTAGTAGTTAGAGTATACTGGGCAGTCACTGGGGGTGCTGTCGGGGATGCAGGAAGAGTGCCTTGAGTGGAGGAATGATGATGTTGTAAGCTGACTGAGGCTGAGTGCAACAAGTCTGACCATGTCTGCAGTATGGGTTGAACAAAGCTGAGCTTACACAAAGCCTGTCTGGTCAAAGACTGCACTGAGTTTATACAATCTCTTAGTACCTGTGGTGAACATGCAGAATAACGCTCCAGAAAGTAATCCACATCATCCTCTAATAACCATACCAGGGACTCTACCTGGTCGGCACTAAATGGCGGCAAAAATTCATCCCTGCATTCGGGGGTACCAGATGAAACCAACTCAGCACAAACCTGAATCAATGGCTGCACCTCAGAGAATTCTGTGCCCTGATCTACTAGGCAATGAGCGATCCGTATACATTCTAGCAGTTAATCCCTGGGATACTCCTTCAGAGTCTGATAAGCATATTCTCTGTCATCAAACACTAGCAGAGATAAATACACAACCTCATCAAGATCCATCCTTCCCAGCAACAAGCCAAGATGGCTTCCCTGTGCAGCCACTTCTGGTCAGGATTGGCCTTGGTGTAATGTCAGGGCTCCCGGGTGTGACCAGAGGTATGTGAACTGACGCAGGGAAACGCAGGCTTCAGATATGTTATAACAATATAATTTATTAACACTAACAATACATAAACGCAGTGCAATACTAAAACATAACACAGTGCAAACGAACCAAACCAAACCACCCACAGATAACAATACATACAATGCAAGCATCGTCAGGCAGGCCGGGTCAATAACAATGGGGCAGGTAGGAACAGGAAGAGCAGGCAGAGAGTAGTCAGGTCACGAGCCGGGTACAGCAACTAACGGGCAGGTAGGTACAGGGGGTCAGGCAGAGAATGGTCGGGGTCACAAGCCAGGGATCAAACAGGAGAAGTCAGCAGAGGTCCGGATCAGGCAGGGTCAGCAACGAATCAGTCAGACAGGAACAGGGATGCAGGTAACAAGATACAGGGGCCCAAAGAAAAGCACACACCAAGGCCCAGACTGCAGGTCTGGCCATCCCTTAAATACACCTGCATAATCAGCTTCAGGTGTTTGGCTGGCTGCAGGGTTGAGTCTCTGATTGCTGAGAGCACCCGCTGGCCAGCCCTGGTACTGCAGCACACAAGGCAGGTGAGTCCCACCATTACTGGCAAGTCCATTCCTGACAATCACTTTCTACTGACCTCAGAACTCTGCCTCATCTACTACTGACCTTGAACTCCGTATCACTTACTACTGACCCCTGTCCTTCACCCTGCTGACCCTGTATTCTGCCCTGATGACCCCTTTCTTCCACCCTGCTGACCTTCCATTCTCTGCCCCCACTGACATTTTTTTACTTCCCCCTCCACATTAGACAGGCTAGATCCGGCTCTTGTCTGTTGGAGTACATGAGCCACATAGTGCCCTTTTTTGCTAGTACAGTAGCTACCTGTGTCTTAGCTTTAGAGGATGCTAGGCATCAGAAGCCGCCTGCATTATAGCAACAGGGTACAATAGGCTGAATCACCTCTGTACACTTGTAAGAATGTAAATGTTGCAGAAACAGTACATGCATTCAATGCACAGGACCCTTTTTACACAGAATCTTGCAGCCAGCTTTTGCTAGCAAGATCCTGTCCTAGTTCTCCTGCATTCTCTGTGTTTAGGTAAATTTTGATGCATTCAGAGCATTCAATCTATCCCTGGAAGGACAGATTTAAATTTTTCCTAAACACCGCTAAACTGAATGCACCTGAACTTGAAGTGTTACTAAACCCACAACAGTAAGATCAGTCTGTATATGCAGAAAAGCAAGCTTGTTATACTCACTGTGGAACTTAAGGGGTTAATCCTTTGCATTATGTAAAAAGGATGCTTTATCCTATCTTATCTGATCTTCCCCTTCTTCCACTGTCACCATTTCATCTCCTGATAGAACACAGCCTCGGGGACACTCTGCACATGCTCAGTTTGGTGTGTACTGCTAGAGAGTTTTTTCTTTTTCTTGGGAGAGTGCATGTGATCAGCACAGGGCCAATCAGCACTTTCCAGAAAGAGGGTCAGGAGCAGGGGTGGACTGACCATTTGGAAACTCGGGCACTGCCCGAGGGCCCAGGGTCAGTAGGGGACCCATGAGATGCCCCTGGTACCTTTTTCATAGGTTTTTTTTGAGTTTGGGCAAGGACACAGGGGCCCCATGATCCCCTATTGCCCGGGGGCCCCATGAGTTGTCAGTCCGCCCCTGGTCAGGAGTTAAGAAATCTCATAGGGCAGTCAAATAAGAATAAAAATTCCTCCTATAAGCTTTAACCAGTGTTCAGCTCGACACTGATAGAGGTCACAAGACTACTACAGTGCCAAGAAAAGTATTCATACCGCTCGAAGTTCTGTTCTAATTGCTGATGAAAAAAGGTATTTAGAAGTTTAATTTAATAAAATAATTGCATTTCCATGGTCTGTGTACTGTGGGAGATATAGTGGATGCAGGGTCCTAGGTTTAGTAACACTTTAAAGGATAAGTTCACCTTTCATAACATGTTACATGTTACACTCATATTCAGGGTGTAACACGTTACGATCAGACCACCCCCCCACTTCCCCACTCCCTTGCTTTGACAGCTAGGAGGAGATCTTTTGCCCCTTGCTAGCTGTCAAATTTTTAAAAACCGTGGCCGTGCGGGGCTCTGCCCCCGCTCGGCCGCATCACTCATCCACAGTCCTCTTTGAATGAGAGACTAAATTCCCGGCAGCCTTAGCAGCTGTCATAGGGTTGCCACTTCATCCCTTTAAAGCTGAACACATATTAATTACACAGGTTCTGCAGCTGATTAAGGTGACAATTAAACTCACCTAGTGCTATCTGCATTGAATTGGCCTCAGAACCTGTGTAATTATTATGTGGTCGATTTTAAAGGGATGTGGTGGCAACCCTAGGCTGTCAGCTTGTAGTTCTCAATAAACAACCACAGCACTGTGGAATGCCACGGTAGCTCATTCATTCATCGTGTCAGTATATCTACTTGCTCATGCATCCCGTACAGGCAAGTAGATATACTGACAGGTCTGCAATAGACTTGCATGGCACCAGTGATCTGCTGATTGCTGGTGCAATGCTATCAAGGCTCCTGCAGACAAAAATAATAAATGCACATTTTTTACCTGCAAAAAATGTGCATTTATTAATTTTTACAAAAAGGTGAACCACATGGAAGAAAAATATATTTTAAATATGTTTTAAAATATTTTTCCCAAATATATTGACATATATTTGAAATACTAAAATTTTGGCCGTATTGAATATA